GCCCGCGAGCCAAAACTACTGAGCCCGCGCGCCTAGAACCCATGCTCTGCAACAAGAGAAGCCACCACAATGAGAAGCCCGCGCACCCAACGAAGAGTAGCCCCTGCTCGCCACAACTAGAGAAAGCCCACGCACAGAAATGAAGACCCAACAAAGCCAAAAATAAATAAGTTAAATAATTTTTTAATCTATTAAAAAAAAGGTATAACAATAATACATTTCTTAAATAGTCAAAAATCATTATCAACATTTCCACAAAAATATACTAAATTCCAAGAGCAAAATGGAGCAGTAAGTGATAACGGTCATTTTCCCTCCCTACTCAATCAACTTTTAAATTTCATTTCAAGCACCTATTTATGGAAAATATACAAAGTTAAAATTTTTTTTTCTAAACTAAGAATTTTCCATAAAATGACCATTTGACTTCTAAAAGCTATTTTTTTTTTTAATGATTACTTTTATTTATTTTGGTCTCCATTGCTGCGCGCGGGCTTTCTCTATTTGCAGCAAGCGGGGGCTACTCTTCATTGCGGTGCACGGGTTTCTCAATGCGGTGGCTTCTCTTGTTGCAGAGCACAGGTTCTAGGGCATGCGGGCTCAGGAGTTGTGGCTCGCGGGCTCTAGAGCGCAGGCTCACTAGTTGTAGCACACGGGCTTAATTGTTCTGCAGCATGTGGGATCTTCCTGGACCAGGGCTCGAACCCGTGTCCCCTGCATTGGCAGGCGGATTCTTAACCACTGTGCCACCAGGGAAGTCCCTAAAAGCTATTTTTAAATAGGCTTTCTTCCTGTTACTAATCAGAATCTGATTTAAAACAAGTATTTTCATAAAATAATGATACTAATAGAAACAGCAAGAACTTTTAACATAGGAGTGTGGAGAAAGGTTTTTACTGAAAATTTTAAAGGTCAAAACACTGGTACTGTGCATCACAGCACTACACAAATGTATACAGTACACAAATGCCTAGAGTCACTAGGCATTGTGCTCTAGAGTTCACGTAAGTTGACTCAACTAGCTTTGTTGATATCCAGTTCTTAACACAGACACAATATTCCTTGAAAATAAAACCAAGTTGAAGACTTACTCATGTTCTACTGTATAAGAGATTTTAGACAAATTGACAATTCACTTCTTTGTTAACTTCTTCTGAGAATTTTAGTTTCTATAATTCATTAATATGGCTAGACATGAGGATCATTTACCCCAAAATTATACTGAGTTTTTGGTTTATAATTATGATATATTTAAGCAGAACTTCCTATTTTAAGTAACAAATAAAATTTAACCCCTAACTTAACTTTGACCTTTCTCCTGCAAATAATGGTTGAGATGACATGTTCTCAAGACAATCTTTTAATTAGCAGTAATAATATAAATAAGCTATTCTAGAATTCAAAAGGTTCCTTGACTGATGCTTTCCCAACAAAACTGTTTGTAAATATATTCCACGCAAACTTGATGGGGAAAAAAATACCACTAGCACTATACTATATCCACTGGAGGGCACTCAATGTGACCAAAGCATGCAATAACATGCCCTAACTCTCTTCTCACTCAACTGCATCAAGTCTGAGGGAGACTTTGGGGATGGGGAATCTCTCTTAAAAGAAGAGATGCCCACAATGAACAAACTTACAAAGATAGTTAAACTCTAAAAAGGGTTCCTAATGTGATTGACTTTCTCTATTAAGAGCTTCTTTTTCCTTAGGGAGAAAGCAGATTAAATACATACTTCAAGGATACAGGCAGGGTTCAGGCCTCAACAGAAGTATCTAGATTTCAAACCTGGTCAAGCTCAGACTTGCGTAAAACACAAAAGCAGCATTCTTAAGTAAACAGAGGAAATAAAGAACTTTCTCCAGAGTTTAAGTGATGAAAAACTACACAAGTTAACTCCTACTCATTTTCAAGCAATACAAATCATATATTTTCCTTTCGTGAAACGTACTTATTCTAGCCTATTACTCTATCACACCACAATTAGAAAGGTATTACATAAACAATAGTCTGTTAAAGAATGAGAACTGATTCTGCAACTCAGTATCCTCAATGAGGGTACAAGAGGCAACAGCTACATGCTCTGGACTAATCAGCAAGCAGCAGCTCCTAGTCTATGTTTTACTATTTACTTTTATGGTATAAAAATGTTTTTAGTCAAGGTGTTTCAACTACAGATACCATATTCCCAACAAAAAGAGAGCTACAAGAATACAACTAAGTTAACACAACTTATGTTTTCAAAACCAATGTCACAAGTCAACATGTAGCACGAAAGAGTTGCCGATACTTTTTATTAGAAGTTTGTCCTGCTCTAAATGCATTCATCCCTTCTGCCCTGGGTTGGCAATCAAGCACACTTCCAACCCAGCTCAAAGTACAAACTTAAAATTTACCACCTCCTCCTCTACAGTTATAGTCAGCAACTAGTAAACCATAAAAGAGAAATAAAAGCTTATTATAACTGGACAGATGTATATTGTTTCATTTCAATAACACGAAAGTTTCATTTGGCTGAAGATACTACATATACTCCATTTCTGTGGTTTTAAGTTCACTGCTACTTGTAACTATAAAAGACTGAGATTCAAACTTTTGAATTCTCCATGTTCCTAGTTTCAACAATACTTACGCTCCTCTTTCCACCCCTCCCAACAATAAAAAAGGATATCTGCAGATAAAGTTTTCGTAAGAACCAAATCTCAAAACACCCTTAGAGAAATTGGCCTACTTCATATTTTCCCTTTCCCATTTGGGGAGGTGGAGGAGGGAAGTGTCCATGAAAACAAAAATACACTTCATTTTATATGTATAATTTTTATTCTCTTCATCACTAGTAACAGTAGGAAGCTCAATTCAGTTTCAGTTTTAATATGGGAATCTACATTTTTCTACATAATTACCTTGGCAAAGGAAATAGACAACATTTCGAAAGAAAGAAAATTCTTGAATACTTACTGACACTTGAACACTGCTAAATGTTTTGTGTTTTTTTTTTAGCCACCTTTTTTTTTTTTTAAATTGGTTTTTCCTGAAAGCGATTTTAAATGACTGCTCTAGCCTCTGGGAGAATTTCAGGCCTAGAACTCCACAAGGGTTCTAAGTTACATATTATACTAAACTTTCTAGTGCAGTTTTTTAATTTCCCCCTCAAGGACTTCAGACTTGAATAGTCTCAGCATTCCTTTAATCCTATAGAATAGTCTTCTGGAAGTTTTTCAAGCTACTGTTGCAATCACTTTAGGGCCTTGTACATGGCCTTCAGAACAAAGACCAGGTCAAAGTAATGAATACTGGGCACAACTTAATCAAATTTTGTGAAAGGATATTCTCAAACCTTAATGGCACTTTTTTTTTTTAACCCAGAGATTTGTGGGTTTAAATGTAAAAGTAAAATAAATGTAGCAGCCGCCTTAGTTCACACCGGGGGGCGGGGGGGTGGGGGTGAGCCTCCCAAGTAGAAGTTTACGTCACTAATTTAAGCAGATACTAAACAGCAGCATTAGATAAATAACATTTCAAGCTATGTCCAATATTTCTTAGGACGAAGACAAGTTAACAGGAAGATAGCTGAAGGTACTGAATGTACACCAAGGGACAATAATGAAATGGCTTCCCAAGTTCCAGACAAAATACTTTATAACTTAGCGATCTTAAAACAGCAGCCCAGACTTTATCAAAGGCTAGCCGTCTCTTCAAGTTGCTGTCTAGTCTAAGCCACCACTATTCACGACACAAAGCTCTCGTTTCACTAAAACCACTCCTCGATTTCCTACTGCCGACCTCTGCATACCAGCAGGCCAGTCTCCCTTCATTCACCACTCACAAACTCGGGGGGGAGGGGAGACCACAGATGTCTGGAAGATACAAAGTAGGAGACAATGCTCCCTCCAACAGGGAACAGAAAACGAAGGAAACAACTACATCCGACCGCCAAAGCTTTCAAGTTTAGCGGATTCAGAAGCGGGCTGTAAGAACTGAACTTCGAAAGTCTCTGTTCCAAGTCCTCTCCCCAGACAAAACACGGAACGAAGTTGCAACGCTTGAATTTCCTTCGGGCAATTTCGTAGCGAGGGAAAAATTCACCCCGCTGGAAAGTGTTCTCAAAATCAAGCCTAGCTGCCATGAAACTATCTGAATAAAGAATTTCCACGAACAAAATTCTCGAAGCAGTGAGAGGCTGAATCCCATGGGTCACTTGATAAGAGCCAGTAAGCCAGTCGCCCTCGCCCTTATTTTTCCCAGGACCTCCCTTGCACGCCGCTTTCACCCACCTGCACCGTACAAGAAAATATACGTGCAAGATACGGATTTTTATCTGTGCAAACCCTCCTGGCGCATCGCACCGTCTGCAGTAATAGTTTGGATCCTCTAAGGTTTAAAGTTGCTTCGATTTAAACAAGCGCACTCACGCCGGCAGGGCATTAAAAAACAACAACAACAACTAACGATCCTCTTAACAGTCCGTCCTTAAGCACGAAAGGGGGGGAACCTGGAGATGGGACCTCGGGTGGCGTCCCAGGTCCAGCGCCCGCACCCCAACTCCCCGCGGAGGCCGGGAAGGCGGAGTCCCCCGTCCCCACCCCGCCCCCCACCCCGGCGCATCCCGAGGCGCAGGGTCCCTCCCCCAAACTCAGCCGCGACCGGAGCCCCGGACAGAAACCACAGCACTCCCCCCCCACACCCCGCCGGCCATCCGAGCTCCAGGACGCGCCCTCGCGGCGCCCCCTCCCCGAAAGCGGTGCCCCCCGGGGCCCCGAGGAGCGGCGCGACCGGAACCGGGCCAGGCCGCCGCCCTCCACCCCCCGAGCGCGGCCCGCCTCCGCCGCCTCTCCGGCGTCCCCAGCCCGCAACCCCCGCTCCCCACCCGGGGCCTCTGGGCTGCGCTGGGCCCGGTTCCCAGCCGCCGCCGGGACCGCGCGCCCGCGACGAAGTTTGGCTCCGAAGCGGGAGTGGGAGCAGCCCCAGAAGGGTAAGGAAAGGAGCGCCCAAGCACCTCAGGGGAACAGGCTCCTCCCGCCGCGGTAGTCCGACCGTCCTCGGCCTGCAGTGGCGGCTCGACGGGGATCGGAGCTGCTCCTCGGACCTTCCTCGGTCTCCGCCTCCCCTCGCTCTCCGCTCCCGGGGCCGGCCTAACGCGGCTGCCACAGACCGAGAGGCTTAAAATGGCGCCGCACAAGGACCTCTTATAAGTCGCGCAGGAGCCTCTGTATCCTGCCGCCAGCGGCGCAGCGCGAAGCGTTCCGCCGCGCGAGGACAAGGGGCGGGGCGCGGGGGGGCGGTGGAAAGTAGTCCCCGCGCTGCTGAGCAGCCCGCCGCCGTCTGCCCGCCCGGGGCAGGGGCGGGGCGCACGCGTGCTCTCCGGACGCTGTCCGGGGTAGAGGCCGGCGGCTGACCCGCTGTGCGGAACCGGAGAGCGGCCCGCTAAGGCGCCGTGGTCCGAGGCGGGGAGGCCGGGGAGCGGCCCGCGAAGGCGCCGTGGTCCGAGTCGGGGAGGCCGGGGGCCCCCGCGAGCCGGGGTAGGCTGGGGGGAGGACGACGCTGGTACTCTCCACTGTCCCGAGCCCGACGTCCCCGCCTCGCGCGTGCCCCGGGCCGTGAGAACGGACGCGGGGCTGGCCGCGCGCTGCCCGCTGCTCGCGGGAGGCGGCATCGGGACCCAGGCCCTCCGGGGCCGAGCGGGCCAGGCGGCACAGGTCCCGGGAGAGCGGAAGTTCGGGGCCGGGGCCGCGCCGGCGGCGCGGGGAATGAGGTCGGGGCCCGCCCGCTCCGGGCGCTGCTGGGCGCCGCCGCCGCCGCCCGGCTCCCGGTCAGGGGACCCCGGCGCGTTCGTGCTTCCGCCGTAGTTGCGGTCTGGGCCCCAGGCTAGCTGCAGGAGGCGGGCCAAGAGCCCCAGAGCCGCCCCCCACGGTCCGGATCGTGGATCCCGCATCCCTACCGGCTGTTCACCCCGAATCTGGAAATGAAGTACCCGGCTGAGCCGCCGGTTCTCCCCACTCCCGAAGGCTGTGAACTTGCGTTAGGATAGGCGCCTAGCCCGCAATTCAACAAGTCCTGATGAGTCCCTACTGTGAACAAATGACTGATAGAAATGGACTAGCTCTAGAGCCCTGCCAACTAGGTTAATTCTTACAGATTCCATTTTCATCTGGTTCCACTTTGTTACTAAGTATCAATAGATTTTTGTGGTGGTGGCCGAGGATTTTTCTTTGGAGGAGGTGCATTTATAGGGTATCACTTATTTAAGAAATCCAAGTATGTTGTTTATGGAAAGAGCTATCGATTAGGCAGCTTCTAATTTTTAAAAACGCATTTTCTATTCTTCAAAAACATTTTCGAATTCGTCTTATTAGGTTGAAGTTGGTTCTTCATTTACCTTGGAAATGTCTCCATTGTAATCCAGCAGGATTGGCATTTGTCAAAGCTGAAAAAACTATGATCGATTCACTTTCTCTAGTCTGTTGTTGTATGCTTATTTTTCCTCCAAAACAATGGAGAGAGTACAAAAAGCAACAAAGTTATCTTGAGGCTTTTATCTCTGTAATTAATGCATGCAAACAATAGGTCTTTATACATAGGTACAGGCAGGAAACCTTCTTACTCATTCACTCATGGAGTAGGTTATGTAGTTTTACGCATAGCTATGCTTCAGGGGCAACATGTTCTTTAAACAATTCAATTTTTTCCCCTATCTTAAAGATATTTCATGATATGCCGTGGTAATGTTAACAGCTGTCTATCACCATAGGATATGTGGGGCCCTGCAGTGGGAAAAGTCCACAGACTAAGATGATGTTCAGTGAGATCCATTGTCTACAATGACTTTCTCATTTGTGTCTTTGCTAGTAGTTCTGTAGAATTAAGAGTAGAGGATGGTTGCAGTTAACCATCTGGTCATAATTCGAACAGATCGAAAGGAAAAAGATACTTCATCAAAGCAGTGTTTCTAATATAAACTTAAAAGTGTAAATGGCATTTTTTCAGGTACTGATCCCCAATTTTAATGTTTATATACAGAGTTAAAGAATATGCAGTTGATTTAAGTCATATATTTAAAATAAGATGACTAATAAATATCAGAGTAATTTTTTAACAGACGTTTCCTTTTTCTATGTTCAGTTTTGGTTTTGTTTTGCTGAATAAGGCACACTATTAAAACTGGTTAAGAAATATCTGCACCATTAGAACATCTAAAGGATTAAAAACTCTTCTATGTTTGTATTTCTCTATTTAGATGCCAAAATAATTGAAGCATTTTTCTATAATTTAGATATCTTAATCTAAATTTATAATTAATATTTAAAATCTCTAGTTAATACTTTAAGCAAACACATGTTAGTAAAGGAAATGTAAAATTTGCAACAATGCAGCAAGCTATTTTTCCCATCACATCTAAGTGTACGGAAGAATTACTGGGTGACTAGCACTAAGACGAATTAGTTGAATTTAACAAGTTGCTCAGAATTTTTATTTGCTTATCCCCAAGATAGAAATTGTTCCAATTGCCTCACCAAAAATATGAGATGAATAACTTCTCTGAAATGAAGACAAATATTAACATTAAACCAACAAGAAATGCAAGCATGAAAATACCTGATGAGTTGGTGGAATAAGTGATTTTGTAAAAATGATTTTTAAAAATTGACCTTGGGCAATACATTTCATAAAAAACACTTGGTTATCTTTTTACACCTTTTCCTTCTAGAGCTAGCCACTTGGGTTTGACGTGAATTAATCCATTTTGTGAAACTGCAGAGGACAAATGGTTCTAAATTTCAGGCTGTGTTCCTGGAAACCAAAAGTGTCTCCAGCTGGTTTAACAGAGGAAGTATTACCTGTCATGATTTCAGACCACTGGCACATCGAGCAGTGGTTCCATGGAGCCTGAAGGCACAGCGTCCCTTCACTAAAACACATACTTTTGAATCACCTTTAGGCAAAGAAAGAAATGCCCAGATTGTTTTTGCACTTCCGACAGAAACATTAATCAAGGCAGCGTTGCAAAGAAGGCCCGTTCTCTTTTGGGACAGTTAACTCTATCAAATCCACTAATTAAACATTTATTGAACACCAAGACAATGAGCTTCCTTTAGAGAGAAATGGATGCCTGGCTCCTTTTGATGAGGATCCTTAAATGAATGTGTAATTGTAATTGTTAAGAAGCCCTCCTTGAAAAGAAACAGAAACAGTAGAAAACAGTGAAACGAGGGTGTGGTCTCTTGTGGACAATCTGAATCTCCTTGGGAAGAATCCTCCCCCAGCAGAAAGGTAAGACTAAATAAAATTCCATGCATTTATAAACAATAACTCCCGACTCTCTAAGAAGGCTCGTTCAAAAATATTTCTTTTCAACAACCTGCAAACACTGGACAAAAATCAGAATCAGCTTTTCATTTAGCAGTTCATCAAGTGGGCTGTTTATGGATTGGGGCTTTTGATTTGCAATCCATCATCTCAGGGTTCAGTGTTATCTTTTGATTTCTTTCCAGCTGAACAGACTAAGTCGTTGTAAATACCTCTTGTCAGACTACATGGTTGGCTATTCTTACACACAGAAGTCATCTAGGAACCCACTGGGCAAATTCGGCGGAGAGCCACTATGGAAAGCTTGCATCTGGTGTGCACTGCGGCACGAGGGGGGGCAGTGAAGGTGGTGGGAGGCGATGTCCATGGTGTTGGCGGCGGCAGCAGCAGTGGTAGTTATGTTCATGGCCGCTTCGGCTATGGCAGGCACACTTTTCATGCTTGGAGTTATGTGTTCTCCAGGCCTTCATTGGCTTGACACAAGAGTCTCTGCCATACTAAGGAAGTACATTTTAATGGCTACCATAGAAGGTGTAAGGAGAAGCAGTGGAGACATCGTCCATCATATTCAAAGAGCACAAAGGTATATGTTTCTCAATGTTTCTAAGAACTAAGACAAACACCGCTGCATTGCTAAGAAATCATGCTTTGGAGACATACCTCCCCCAAACACACACACACACACACACACACACACACACACACACACACACACACCTCTCTATTAAAAATTTCAAAATGGTTGCAGATACTTCATTCACAAGAAGGTTAAAGGCGTTTCCCATCGAAAGAAGGATTAACTTACCGGAGGATTCTGGGACTGCAGATGTATACTGCGACAAAATCCTAAATTCATCGAAAAAAATCATTTCTAGACTCCAGCTGCTGAATATAATAGAATTATAGTAAATCATGGATAAGATTAAAACAAGCCATCTTCACATTCCAAAGTGTTCAGGAAAAAAATGATTCTTTTCTTTTAACTCCTTTCTTAAACAATGCAAATTTTAAAGTAGCTTTTTCTTTCCAGAGCACGCAGCGCCATGAAATCGATAATTTTTGATCTTTCGGTTAGTAGGCAACATGGTGAGCTATTGCAGGGACTGCAGGCAGCAGACATGTTCTTGTCAGCTAAAAATTTTCATATTGTTTTTGAATCCATTGAGATTTGTAGATGTGATACCACTGGTTTTTTGTTTTAGTTTGCACTAGGCTATAGGGACACAAACCCTCAGTTTATCGACATATCCAGGTCTATTGCTTTATATACATTAAAAACAGGGAGTCTTACTGGATCTTAAACAAAAAATTATGTAAAAGGAGTGGCTGGTGTGATTATAATCCCATCATGCAGGGTCCACGGTTCCCATTTAGTGAAATTTCGCAGAGGGCAACTTCTTAAGAACATCCCTGCTGTGCAGAGTGAAAAGCATGAACAAACCAAAGACAGAATTCATCTGTGTTTATATTTTACAAACAATGAAAAACCTACTCTTTGTATGCCTTTTTTCCCCCACCTTATTATTTCATGAAAACTGCAGCATTTTCCCCGCCCCCATCCAAACACTCACCACCCCAGCACTGCAGTATTCCGTCCCTCTGTTGCTTCTCCTTCGTCTTCTTTTTCGCTTTCACAAATTCTGCACGCGCCATCTTTGTGTGGGGTGATTCTTTGCTAATTTCAGTTACCCATTCTCTCACAAATCGGTTCAGAAATAGAAAATTATAGTGTGCTTTGGGGCTTCATTTGCCTAAATTTCTTCCAGCCTTCCTTTCTGACACAGAAACATGGAAACAACAGGGAGGGGGGGGGCATAAAAAGAGATATTTCTATTATTGCCATAACCTGTTGTATACAGTGGTGATAAAAAATATTATTAACATAATAGCAACAGCTGCAGCCTAAATAGAA